AACCTTTATGCCACTTGTTGACCCTATCTTAACCCTTCTTCAACTTAGTTTTCCATTTGTAAACTATTGATTTCTTTGAGGCATTCACTCTATAGACTTTTCATAAAACATCAGTGACTTCACTATTCTTCCACCTAAGCTTCACCATAAACTTGAGTTTTGTTCTTGCTGGAGTTTCAGCAGAATTCATATTGATCTTATAGGAGCTCTTTATAAGCTTATGTCTTATCCTTTTTACTGTATCAGACTAGATCCTGTTGAGACATGTTATGACAAGTTTGTATAAGTTTATTTTTGTATAAAAAGAAAATTGAAATTCAAGCACAGATTTTTTTTTCCATTTTTCATGCATTTTTTTCTTGGTACCTTAAACTACACATTTTATTCATTTGTTTCTCTTTGAGGACTTCCCTCCTCCCCCCCCTCCCCTTCATGTGTGTTTCAATGTTTAAAAAGCGTTATTGGGGTATAATTTACATGTGAAGAAATGCATATATTGCAACTGAACCACTTAATGTATTTTGTCATTATGTGAAACTTCTTAGGCTATCACCATAATTAAGAAAATGAATATGCCATCATGCAAACAGCTTTCATGTGTTACTTTATAATCCCTCCCTCCAGGTCTCTTCTTCCTTCTGAATCCTTTGTTCATAGACAAGTTTTCTGCCTTCTGTCACATAGATTAGTTTGCATTTACCATATTTGTACAGTATCATAATCTTTTTTGCCTGTTTCATTCAGTATCATTATTTCAAGCATTAAATGAAGTTGAATTGACAGAGTGTACCAAAAATATGTATATTTTTTCTTAATTGCATTCTATGCAGAGACTGTTCATCCTATAGCCAGTCACCTGTTGAACGTTTACATTGTTTCTGGCTTTTGGCTTTTGCAAATAAAACTGCTATGAGCATTAACATACAGTTTGTCCTATGTTCATGTTTTTCTTTCTCTTAGGTAAAACCCAGGAGATTTTTAAGAAATAGAAAACTGTTCCCCAGATTTTAGTGCCATCATTTTTTATTTACACCAGCACTAGAGGTGTAGCATTTCCATCTCATCACCATAGCTGACACCCCAGACCATCCTTGGAACCATCAGGGTAGCCAGCCTTTATTGCTATGGAGCAGATTTCTGAGCTCCTAAAAAGACTGCCTTCAAGTCCTCCTGCTCCTCCTCCTCCTCCTCCTCCTCCTCCTTCTCCTTCTTCACCTCAATTGATTCAACCATGGTAGTTTATTGACATTTTAAAATGAAAAATGCAATGTGCACTTTTGGAAATGCTGTCTCTTGTGCTGATGCTTATGAAAGGCGAAATTTTGATGGTTATTTTGACTGGGTGATGCTTATGCTACTAATACAGTTACTACTTAAAGATAAATGATAATTTATGATTAGTAACTCCTAATTTAATTGGTTCATTTTGTCATACATTATTACTATTTTTTGAGAGGTTTTTGTTTCACAGTATGTGTGCTTGCTGGAGAGAGAGAGAGATGGAGACAGAGAGAAGGAAAGTGAGAAATCACCCCCCAGTAAGAATGGCAATATTGCAATCCTCTTCTCCTACATTCTCCTCCTGAGATTTTGAGTATGGATGCACACATGCCAGGCATGAGTTTCAAGCCTCTGAGTCCGGGACAAGAACAGTGGTCAGCCACGTGGGAGTCCAGTGTCATAACCACTAAGCCATCTGTTGGACCCACTTTAACAAATTATTTCATATGGATATTTATCTTTCAGTTCTTTCTATTTAAAGTTTCTAACACTAACCATCCTCCAACATCTAACATTTCATATTCCTCTTCTCTTCCTTATTTTTTCTCTTCACGCTTATCACTAACTTAACAATAAGTTATACTCATTTTTGTTTACTGTCTATCAGTTATGGTTGTACAATGACATGGGGAAGAATCTCCGCAACTAAGTTTTTCGAAGTAGTAGGATCTACCTACAAATGTTCACACTGCTATTGGATATATTTCATCTGCCATAAGAGTTTATAGCCTATAATGGGTATATAACCAGCAGAATTGCAGAAGATGATTGCATTTGCATGTTAGGGTCACCCTCTCTCCTATACATTATACATTATAATGGGAATATAAAACCACAGATGAGACAACCAGCAGAATTGCAGAAGATGATTGCATTTGCATGTTAGGGTCACCCTCTCTCCTATACATTATACATAATATGAAAAATAAACTATTCATTTTCCATGAACTTTCTGGAGACATCCCACATGTGTTTGTTGTAAAATGATTGAAGGGTACATTAGATGCAAGTTTTCGGATTTTAAATCCCCAACATATTCTCATTTTATTAAGTAAGGATTTAATCTGAAAAGAGATGAGAGTGCAGTCTTAATCTGCTCACATACCATTCTAGCATTTTCTCTTACTGAATATCTTCCACTATAGTATTCAGCAACCCCATATATGTCATGGAGAAGAAAGTAAAATATGAACAGAATTGAGTCTATAAAAAAAATAAAATAAATACTTTGTTTTGAGAGAAAGCTAGTGGAAACTAAAGGCAATGATATGTTTTAAAACACTTGAAAAACAATCACTCATGAATATACTATTTTTTTAAATCCTAAACAACCAATCACAGAAGATCTCTTATGTCATTTTTCTAAGGATCAGATAATTCTTATGGTCACTAATTGAATTCTTTCTGTCTTCCTAGTATTTGCATCCCTTAGGCTAGTCTAAAAATCTTCCTTTTTAATGTATATTTATATCTCTTTTGCACTTCTTTTTTTTTTTTTTTCTGGAGAGTTTTTCTTTTTTTTTTTTTTTTTTTTGCTATACATGCGTTTGCCAGACAGACAGAGAGAGACTTAGAGACAGAAAGCGAGAAATCACCCCCCAGGGGGGATGGTCATGCCACAATCCCTTCTCCTCCATTCTCCTCTCGGGATCTTGGGCATGCACGCACATGCACCCGGTGTGAATTTTAAGCCACCAGATCCGGGACGCAAACCGCGGTTGACTACATGGGAGTACAACATCATAGCCATTACGCTAACTGCTGATTCCCTCTTTCACACTTCTTGATCAGGTCCTCCTCATCTTTCATATTATTCCACTAAATTCTTCCCTATCACAACATTTAGTCATTTAGAGGAAGAACTTTGAATCTGGGAGCAATGTGGTAAAATATGGGGAGTCCATGGGTGAAATAGTAAGCCTAATAAGAAGAGGGAAAGAACTTTAGGAAAGAAAGAAAAGAAGGTAGGCAATAGTATGGCAGATTATAGCAACAGTATTATATTGATTAACTTTTTCTTTTTGCAATCCCACCCAGAGAGTATTGGCTAATGAAAAAGTAAATATTAGTACCACACTTAAGGGTAAAGGTTTTGCTTTCCTTTTTTATTTTATTATTATTATTTTTCTTTTTTTTTTTTTTCCATAAGGGATATGTTCTAACTGGAGAATGACAAAGAGAAACAGAGAGAAGGAAAGTGAGAAATCACCCCTGGGAAGGATGACCATGCCACAGCCCTTTCTCCTCCATTGTCTTGGCACACACACTAGTGTGATTTTCAAACCAGCACATCTGGGACTCAAACCATGGTCAGCCATATATAAACCCAGTGCCTTAACAACCATGCCACCTGCTGACCAAAGCAAATTGTTTTTAAGCTTTCAAATATATGAATTTCCTTTCCTCATCCATATTATTTTTTCTTTTTTCTTTCCTTTTCTTTCTCTTCCTCCCTCTCTTACTTCCACTAACTTTCCTTCTTTTTCTTTTTATCTCCTTCCTTCTTTCTTTCCTCTTATTTCTTTTACTTTGAGAACTATACCAGGGAACAAGTTGGAGTCTCTAGACATCCTCTAATATGGCACTGAGTTTTGTTAGGTAGTTCTATGGGACTATACATATATAAGTAATATGTAAGTAATCAAATTACATTAACTACTAAGTATCACAGACATCTAGCTATAAAAGCAATTTATAGACAAAAGAATAGTATAACAATCATTCTAGTGCTACTAAAATCATTCTGATTATCTATGAGCCACTAAATTCTACATTATAGAAATTCAAGGTAATTCCTTTTTCTCAAAGTTTACAACTTTTATTATACATCACACATATCTATATTATGTTACTAAAAATAAACTTTGCTTTCTAAATGAGAAATTAAATGGCATAGGTCTTGAAATTCATAGATGAATATGCATAAAGTCTAAAAATTTTAATGTACAAATAATTTAGGCAAAACAATTGAGTGTCTGAAATATTTCACACTTAGGTCTACTAAGAAAAAAGCAACCATATTATCTTAATTAATTTTAAAATAATAACATATGGTTCTAATATTTAAAAAACAGTTACTTGTATTTATCTATTTCTTAGCATGAAGGTATCTTTATAAAGTTTTAGTATAACAAAATATTAAAATTATTTACACACTTCCTAATATATTTATAAGAACTTACTTCTCAATTTTTATTTACTTGGAAGTCCATTAATTTTTTTTCAAAACTTACTCATCAAACAGTAATGTCTCTGGCTGTGAAAATACTCATGCAACTTGTACAATTATCCAGAATTTCTTTGACCACAGGTCATTTTTAAAACTATTTGAGAATAACCTCAGGTAGCATGTGTAAATTCAGATCACATAAGCACGTCTAGGTTTTAGTTCAAATACAATGTGATTTTATCGAGTAGTATTTAATTGAAAAAAAAAAAAACTTGTCCCTTGTATATTTCAACAATTGAGACCCTTACTGCCTTTTTACTATGAACAAAAAAAAAAAAAGAAAATTAAAAATACGTATAATTTCCCATTTAACAGTAAATACTACATGCATTAGGACTCTGGCAAAGCTTCCAAGTAAGTGTTAAAATGACCAACTGATCAGTAATTTGTATCACTTGGCCAAAGATTTAATTGTCAATTACTGGGTCTGATATATGCATGCTACAGCATAGTATGTTCAGCGTCAAAAAATAAAGTAAAATTTGATTACCCTAAAAGACATTTCAAGATTCTCTCCACCCCAGATATCCATTCCTGCATCGTAAGTTCCTATCTCTTCAAAGTAGTTTCTGTCAATAGAAAATAGGCCACCAGCCATAGTAGGGGTCCTAGTTGAAAAACAAAACAAAAAGAAAATATCTTTTGAAAACAATGTGTGGAGTTTAATGAGACTGAAGCAAATATTTTTGAGACATTTTAAATATTAAAAAAATATTACTCAAAAATCTCAAACTGGAAACATATATCCAAAGTGTAAGAGGCCTTAAAATGAATAAATAACATTTTATTTCACATTTTGTATAAAATTCAATTGAGATTTGTTTGTTTTTCTTATAAGTAATCAAATAGTGACATGAAAGGAACACTGGCTATTTAAGACTGGGGCTTCTACATTTCTTTTGAATGTCATCATGAAGAGAATTCACTGCCCTGCACATTGTCCTTAGAGAGGGCAACTGATCATGAAACCACCAGTTACGATCTTCGCTCACATAACTATACATCATTTTTGTTGTTGTTTAGGTTTTGTCAGAGGGCTCATGTGCTCTCCAGAGAGAGACTGAAAGAAAGTGAGAAATCACTCCTCA